AGAGAAATGCAAATCAAAACCACATTGAGATACCATTTCACGTCAGAATGGCAATCATTAAAAAATCTGGAGACAACAGATGCTGGAGAGGATGTGGAGAAATAGGAACATTTTTACACTGTTGGTGGGAGTGTAAATTAGTTCAACCATTGTGGAAGACAGTATGGCAATTCCTCAAGGACCTGGAAATAGAAATTCCATTTGACCCAGCAATCCCATTGCTGGATATATATCCAAAGGATTATAAATCATTCTATTATAAAGATACATGCACACGTATGTTCATTGTGGCACTGTTTACAACAGCAAAGACCTGGAACCAACCTAAATGCCCATCGATGATAGACTGGACAAGGAAAATGTGGCACATATACACCATGGAGTTCGTGTCCTTTGTAGGGACATGGATGAACATGGAAACCATCATTCTCAGCAAACTTACACAAGAACAGAAAAACAAACACCACATGTTCTCATAGGCAGGTGTTGAACAGTGAGAACACATGGACACAGGGAGGGAAGCATCACCCATCCTCTGTTGCAGGGGAGTAGGAGAGGGACAGTGTGGGGTAGGGAGGTTGGGGAGGGATAACGGGGAGAAATGCCAGATATAGGTGACGGGGGGATGGAGGCAGCAAACCACATTGCCATGTATGTACCTATGCAACAATCCTGCATGTTCTGCACATGTACTCCAGAACCTAAGTGCAATAATATACATGTACATATACATATATATATATAATACAATAAAAAAATGAAAAAGAAAATAAATGGTGTCTTTCCTAATGCATGGGTTGCCAGTGGTCCTTCACAACTCAATCTCATCCTGGTGGATGCCACTTCTGCTAACACTTGTACTTATATATTGCTACGGCTTAAAAAAAAAAAAGTCATTACCTGCAGGTGATATGGGTTAGACACCAGTTCTAGGGCTGATGGGGAGAGAGAAATTAGGAGACCATACAGGTGTTGGAAGTGGACCCTGCAGGTCTATTAGCAAACATGCCCACCCTCCAAAGGCTGGCAGAGCAAAAGAGGTTACATGATTAAGCAAAGAAGCAACCAAAGGATGACAGCTGTAGTGACCTCAGGACCTAGGACTGAGATGTGGAGGAACAGGGTGACCAATGGAATGTGGGGACAGAATGGAACGTTGAGGGAAGGCCTCAGAACTGGAAACCATGGCTACAGTGTTGATGAGAACTCCCAGCTGCCTGGACCAAAATCCAGTGCTGAAGAGCCACGCCAGACGTCTGAGAGGAGCTATGTCCATGTCGGCCCCGCTGGACGGGTGAGCTGACCGCCCTCCCCTCAAGCTGCCGGTTCAGGTGGAGACCACGTCACTGGGTAGTGGAGGTTCGTTCCTTCTTTATTGTGTTTTTTTTTTTAATTGTGGTAAAGTATATGTAACATAAAATTTACCATCTTAGCCATTTAAGTATACAGTTTAGTGGCAGTAAGTACATGTAATTGTTGAGTAACTGTCATCACTGTCCAGCTCCAGAACTTTTTATCTTCCCCAAATGAAACTCTGTCCCCATGAAAGACAAACTCCCCCTTTACTTCCCGCCAGCCCCTGGCAACCACCACCTACTTTCTGTCTAGGAATTTGACTCTCTATTACAGGTACGTCCTGTATGGGCAGCCAGACAGCATTTGTCCTTTTGTGATTGGTTTCTTTCACTCAGTGTAATGTCTTTGAGGTCCATTTTTGTGGTAGTCTGTGTCAGAACTTCCTTCCTTTTGAGATTATGGATAGAAATCATATTTCTGGTGTCAGTAGAGACCACATTTAGCTTCCATTGCCTGTGAGTGGGCACTTGGATTGTTTCCACCTTTGGTTACTGTAAATAATGTTGCTATGAACATGGGTGTAGAAATATGTCTTTGAGTCCCTTCTTTCACTTCTTTTTGGATATGCACCTATGCACACAAACACACACACACACACAAACACACACAAGGAGACACACACACACACATATATAAAACAACATCCATATTTGTACATTCCTTTGCATCCTTTTCCCACTTAACAGTGTCAATTTCCTGGATTAAAATGCTTTTGAAGACTTCACTGTAAATGGTTGAATAATATGCTGTATCCCCTGGAATAATGAAGTTTACTTAAGCATCCATATTGCTTCACATATTACTTATCTCCAGATTTCTCTTATTCCCAATGTCAGCAACACCCCTGGTGAGCATCAGTGCCCAGACAGTTTGATCCCACTTCTCTGATTTGTCCACTAGAATTGATTACAAGAAGTGGGAGATTGGGTCAGGAGACACCCATGTTTTTATTTTTGATAATATATATGTATTTTTCTGAGACAGAGCCTCACTCTGTTGCCTAGGCTGGAGTGCAGTAGTGCTATCTCTGCTCACTGCAGCCTACACCTCCCGAGTTCAAGCAATTCTCCTGCCTCAGCCTCCTGAGTAGCTGGGACTACAGGCGTGTGACACCATGCCCAGCTAATTTTTGTATTTTTAACAGAGACGGAGTTTCATCATGTCGGCCAAGCTGGTTTTGAACTCCTGACCTCAAGAGATCTGCCTTCCTTGGCCTCCCAAAGTGCTGGGATTACAGGCGTGAGCCACTGCCCCCGGCCTTACTCTTGATAGTAATTAATTAATACACTTTTATGTTTGTGTCTCTTTATGCACACCATTTTTTCCAATTAAAAAAGTAATAGACTTTAAGACAATAAAAGAAAAATCACCAGTAATCCTAGTATTCAGATGAATCTCGTTTTTTGTCTTCCCAGCATATTTTATGTTGGGCAAAAATAAGATCAGACTACTATATATACTAACAAGTTTGTTATCTGCATTTCAGATTCAACCCACGATGGACACTTTCCCATGTTGCTAAATCTTTTTCTACTTTATTATCTGCAAAGTATTATAATGAATAAATGGCTTTGCTTTAACATATACTAGGTAGTAAAGCATATTTATATGCTTAAATTAATCAATCTTCCATTGCTTGACAACTTTTTTATTGGAGATAGAGTCTTGCTATGTTGCCCAGGCTGGTCTCAAACTCCTGGGCTCAAGCAAGTTTCCCGAGACAACTGTTTCGTGAAATATTTTTTATTATTTTCTTATTTTAAATAATCATGCTTATTCCAGAAATATTTGAAAATACCGAACAGCCAGGCACCATTAAAAAATCACAATCTGAGTGTCATAAACGGACACAATATTGTGTGAAAGAAACCAGTCACAATGGCCAGGCTCAGTGGCTCACACCTGTAATCCCAGCACTTTGGGAGGCTGAGGTGGGTGGATCACAAGTCAGGAGATTGAGACCATCCTAGCTAACAGAGTGAAACCCGTCTACTGAAAATACAAAAAATTAGCCGGGCGTAGTGACACGCGCCTGTAGTCCCAGCTTCTCGGGAGGCTGAGGCAGGAGAATCTCTTGAACCCGGGAGGCAGAGGTTGCAGTGAGCCGAGATCATGCCACTGCACTCCAGCCTGGGCAACAGAGCGAAACTCTGCCTCAAAGAAAAAGAAAAAGAAACCAGTCGCACAAAAGCATTGACCATATGATCCCCATTTTGAAAAACAGGCAAAATAGAAATAACTGTGGGGATGCATGCTGAGATGATAAAACTATGAAAGCAAGCAAAGAAGTGGGAATATTGTGTATCTGAAATGAAATGATGGTTCCATGGGTGCTCACCCCATCATCATTCATTGAGCTGCACACTTGTGTGCTTTTCTATATGTGTGTGACCCAGTTTAAAATGTCTCCTAACAGATTAGGATATAGTCTTTCAGTTCAATTTGTACCTCTGATTATATCATACATACTCTTTTGAAACATGTAATTTGTATTTGAAATATTATGGACATCTCCCTTTTGGTCACATAGAATGGCAACTAGAACGGCTGTCATGAAAAACATTAAAAGTACCAAATGTGAGAGAAAATATGGAGAAACTGGAACCTCCATCATTGCTGGTAGGAATATAAAATGGTGCAGCCACATGGGAAAACAGTTTAGCAATTTCTAAAAAATTGAATGTACACTTACCACATGAACCACCAATTTCACTCCTAGGCATCTACACCAGAGAAACAAGGACATATGCCCATACAATCTTTTATATTCAGGTGTTCATGACAGCATTATTTATAATAGCCAAAACATGGCACCAACCCAAACGTCCAAAAGCTGTTGAATGAACAAACTGTGGTCAATCCATACACTGGAATACCATTCAGCAATGAAAAGGGACAACCTTCTCATACCTGCTACAACATGGATGACCCTTGAAAATGTGCCATGTGAAAAGAGCCACACAAAACTATTACACCTTGTATGATTCCATTTGTATCGTCAATGTTGGTGTATAGCTCCATCGCATGGATGTAGCATAAATTCTTTCACCAAGCCCTATTGTTTGATTTGATGTTGTGTCCCAGTTTCCAATATTACAAACAATGTTGTGATGACCATCTTTGTGGCTACGTGTTTGTGGCCATCCTTAATTATGTCTTTACACCAATGTCCAGAAGTGGAACTGCCAGTCTTAAGGTGGGTGCATTTTAAGGCTTCTGGGAACTGTTGCAAAGTGGCCCTGCACAGTTTGCTCAGACTGCACTCCCACCAGCAGAGCAAGAGGGTCCAGGGTCTCCTTTCTCCATTACAGCCCCTCCCTCCTGGCACTGCTCACCCATAGGAGGCTGTCCCAGGTCCCAGGGCCACCCCCCTCACCATACTCTGTATTTGTTTGTAGTTTCCTGGGTGCACTGCCACCATGGCCTGGTTCTCCAACAATGCCAACTGCGGATTTTCAGTCTTCACCCTTGCCACCGTAGGATGGATCCTCTCCTCTATGTCCATGGGCCTTGTGGACTGGCGAACATGGCATGTGAAAGGCACCCCACCCTACCCCCCTGCGGTCGCCTACGTGGGACTATTTAGAGTCTGCATTTACGAGCATCACACCAACAGGACCACAGCCATATTTTGTTACCTATACAGCTCCAAGGACAACTTTCTCCCTTCTGAAATTTACATGGCTCAAAGCTTCCTACTGACTGCCAGCATTTTCGGATTCTTTGGGAGACTCGTTAAAATCTTAGCACTTAGGGACATGTCCTTGGGACTATTTGGGGGCAACACCTACAATTCATTCATTGTTTCAGGAATTCTCAACATTGCTGCTGGTATGTTTATCTTAATTGCTGTGTTCCAGAACTATGATGCTATCATAAATTCAAAGGGGATCACCTTCCCACCATCTTTCCAAATGTCCTTCAAGCCAGATGTGCAGGAAGTCGGCATGGCCATTCAAGTGGCAGGGATAGCTGCCTTCCTGATGCTGTTAAGTGGGATATTTTCTCTGTTGTACAGATGTTCCCTATACGCCCAAGTGCATCCTGAAATTTCAGAAATGTGAGTTTCCTGGTTGCATTGGCTTTGCAAATGCAAGATTTCTGGGAGTTTATGGGAGTGTTATTAGCATGCTCTACCAAATATTTCCAAGGACTCAAGACCATGGAGTGGGTAGTTTGGGACAGAAGGTGGCCAACTGCTTCCTTCTGTTATCTTGTGTATCTGAATGTGGTTCACTGATTTGTTGGTTGAATTGAGAACTTTTATTAAAAAAAAAATCTTCCCACCTGCCAGTTGGTCTTATTGCAACTGGATTTTAATTATTGTTGGCTAAAGCAAATAACCAACACCATAAATTAAGGGTAGGGAAATAAGAGTTTCTAAGCACATTAACTCTCACATCTCCCTCTTAAACTTTTGCTAAAAACAATCATAGACCAGGCATGGTGACTTACACCTGTAATCCCAGCACTTTGGGAGGCTGAGGCGAGAGGATCACTTGAGGCCAGGAGTTCAAGATCAGCCTGGGCAGCATAGCAATACTTGGTCTCTACAAGAAAAATTAAAAATAAAATAGCTGGGCATGGTGGTGCATGCCTGTGGTTCTAGTTACTTGGGAGGCTTGGGTGGGAGGATCGCTTGAGCCCAGGAGTTGGAGGCTCCAGTGAGACATGATGGCACCACTGCACTCCAGCCTGAGCCACATAGCAAGATCCTGTCTCTTGAAAAACAAAATCCAATAAACAAAAAACCAAGAATGGAGCTTATTTTCTATGTCATGGTAATAACATCTCTCTACCATGTAAAGTTTTCCAAAATGTGCAAAAGTAGAGAGGATATCATAAGAAATCTCCTCACGTGCATTGCCAGATTCCGCAGTTACTGAGATTCGGCACTTCCGCTTTGTCTTTCCATTCTTTCCCCTTTCTAATCTACATTTCTTTTTCCTATGTTTGTTTGTTTGTGGGTTTGTTTGTTTGTTTGTTTTGAGACAGTCTCGCTCTGTCGCCTGGGCTGGAGTGTAGTGGCATGATCTCGGCTCACTGCAACTTCTGCCTCCCAGGTTCAAGCAATTCTGCCTCAGCCTCACAAGCAGTTGGGATTACAAGCACCCGCCATCATGCCCAGCTAATTTTTGTATTTTTTGTAGAGACGGGGTTTTACCATGTTGGCCAGGTTGGTCTCAAACTCTTCACTTCAAGTGATCTGCCCACCTTGGCCTCCCAAAGTACTGGGATTATATAGGCATGAGCCAGTGTGCCCAGCCTCTTTTATCTAAGCAAACCCCAGGCACCATGTCTCTTTATCCCCATATAATTCCATATTGAACTCTTTAAAAAAGTGGACACTTCTTGCATAACCATATATGTAAAAAACTGAGCAATTATTACTCATTATGAAATAGATGTTTAGATGCCTTAAAAATAATTCTGTACCTTTATTTGTCCCACACCAAGTGCTCACTCTGCCTCTGAAGTGTTCATCTAAAACACTGACCCCCCCCACTGTGTGCGCGTGTGCATGTGCGTGCACACACACACACACTCACACATAGCAACCCCTCTGCCTTTTTTTTTTTTTTTTTTGAATCAGGGTCTTGCTCTGTCGCCCAGGCTGGAGTGCAGTAACATGATCAAGACTTGGTGCAACCTTAACCTCCAGGCTCTGGTGATCCTCCCACCTCAAAAAGTAGCTGGGACTACAGGCATGCGCCACCATGCCCAGCTAATTTTTTTGTATTTTTGTAAAGATGAGGTCTCACCATGTTGTCCAGGCTGGTCTTGTACTCCTGGGTTCAAGCGATCCTCCTGCCTCGGCCTCCCAAGCACTGGGATTACATGTGAGAACCACTGTGCTTGACCTCATCTGCCTTTTTAATAAATGATTTTAATTTGCTGAAGAAAGTGGATTAACTTAATTTATTACCTCTAGAGGCTTGATTAGAGTCCTGGTCTATTCTCAGAGGAAGAGTATTTCATAGGTGGTACCATGTACTTCCTACTGATTGCACTATGCCAGGGGTACATGGTCATTATCCCTTTCAGTGATGCTAAGATTGGTCAGTGGATCTATGAAGGGAATGCCTGATCCCTTTTGTAAGTTTCCTCATCAAACTTCCACTAATGGTTTCATCTACTGATGGTCCTTGTTTGAATAAACTATCACACTGAGAATTGTGAGTAGTGACCTTTCCTTTCTTCCATCCCTCCCCCTCCCTCTCTCCTTCCTTCCCTTCCTTCCTTCCCTTTTTCCTCCCTCCCTTCTTTCCTTCCCTCCTTTCTTTCTCTCCCTCCCTCCTTTCCTCCTTCTCTCTTTCTCTCCCTCCCTCCCTCTGTTCCTCCTTCATTCCCTCTCTCCCTCCCTCCTTACCTCCTCTCCCTCCCTTTTTTCCTCCTTCTCTTTCTCCCTTCTTCCCTTCTTCTCTTTCTCCCTCCTTCCCCAATTCTTTCCTTCTCTCCATTTCTCTTTCCCTCCTTCCCTCTCTCCTTCCCTCCCTTCTACTTCTCTCCTTCTCTCCCTCCTTCTCCTCTTCTTTCTCTCCCCTCTTCCTTCCTTCTCTCCCTCCTTCCCTCCTTCTCTCCCTCCCTCTTTCCCTCCTTTTCTCCTTCCCTCCCTCCCTCCTTTCTCCTTCTCTCCCTACCTCCTTCCATCCTTCTCTTCTTCCTACAGGGATCTCTGTCCCCCAGGTTAGATTGCAGTGGTAGGATCATGGGTCACTGTAATCTCGCACTCTTGAGCTCAAGCAACCCTCCCGCCTTAGCCTCCTGTGTAGCTGGGATGACAAGTGGGTGCCACCATCCCCAGCTAATTTCTAATAAATTTTTGTAGAGATGGGGTCTCATTATGTTGCCCAGGCTGGTCTCCCACTCCTGGCCTCAAGCAATCCTCCTGTCTTGGCCTCCCAAAGCTGCAAGTGGTGACTTTCTAATGTGAACGTTCTAGCCAGATATATCAGCTGAATGCTTTTGTGTGAGGGCTACATGGAGGCTGAAGTGGGAGACTCTCTTGAGCCCAGGAGTTGGAGACCAACCTGGGTAAGACCCCATCTCTAAGAAGAATAAAAAAGTTTTCCCTCATCATCTATGGCTATTCGGTTACTCTAAAATCAGTGCATACACAAAAAAAGGCAGAGTAAATGCTCCAATTGTTGATTTCTAGAGTGAAAAAGGAGAATGTCCTAGTTTCCATTAGGGTTAACCAATGTATTGGTTGTTTTTATTATTTCTGTTTTCTTTTTCTTTTTTTTGAGATGGAGTGTTGCTCTGTTGTCCAGGCTGGAGTGCAGTGGTGCGATCTCAGCTCACTGCAACCTCCACCTCCCAAGCTCAAGCGATCCTCTGACCTCAGCCTCAAGAGTAGCTGGGACTACAGGTTCACGCCACCATGCCCAGCTAGTTTTTGTATTTTGTAGAAATGGCATTTCACCATGTTGCCCAAGCTGGTCTCAGACTGCTGAGCTCAAACAATCTGCCTGTCTTCCTAAAGTGCTGAGATCACAGGCGTGAGCCACTGTGCCTGGCTTCTTTTTCTTTTTTGAGTATCAACTCAACCCTTGAGTATGAATTCATGAAATTGTTTCTGTGTTTTTATTTTGGAAATTTTCAAGTGCATTCCAAAGTAGAGAGGCTATGGCCTCAGCCACAATCATTATCAATATCTGACCCACCGTGTTTCAGCCCTACCCTTCCTCCCTGTCCCATCTCCAGCTTGGATGATTTTAAATAAATCCCTGGCAATATGTTATTTTATCCACAAATACTTTTATATGTATCTCTCAAAAATACAGACCTCTTATTCTTTTTAACATCACCACATTGCCACTATCACACCAAAAAGTTAACTTCTTTTTACAATTTGTTTATATATATATACATATATATACATACACACACAAATTGAGATGGGCATCTCGCTATATTTCCCAGGCTGGTCTCGAAGTTTTGGGCTGAAGCAATCTGCCCACCTCGGCCTCCCAAATTGCTAGGATTACAGGCATGAGCCACCATGGCTGGCCAGTCACTTCTTAATATATTCAAATACCCAGTCAGTGTTCACATTTCCCTAATTACCTCATA